GTGTGTGTGTGTGTGTGTGTGTGTGTGCATGTGTGTTTGTACTTCATCTGAGAAATATCTACTTCATATGCACCTGTGTTTTAATTGGGTCTTTAAATTTGTGTGGTTTAACTTTTTTAAACCCTTTATATATTCTAGATGTTAGTCTTCTGCCTGAGGAGTAACTAGTAAACATGTGTTTCTCATTCTATGGCCTGTTTTGGTACTGTGGATTGAACTCAAAACCTTGTGCTTACCAAGTAGATGCTTAGCCACTGAGCTATCTTCCCAGCCTTGCTGGTGGTTTCTTTTGCTGTGTAAAAGCTTTTTAAATGACGTGATCCCAGTTTTTAATTATATTTCCTGTGTGATCAGCATTTTGTTCATAAAGTCTTTTCCTACATCTATATCTTGCAGTTTTACCTATTCTGTCTTTTAGCAGGTTGTTTAACATTTAGACCTTTGATTCATTTCAATCTTAGCTGAATGCATAATGAGAGATATGGATGGAAAGACAGGCATCACTTTTATTCAGCAGTTGCCATTTACTGGCTCTGTTTCAAGTATTTACAGGTATGGGCAATTCTCATTAACTGGGCTTCTTTAAAGTCACCACAAGGGTGGGCTGGGCAGATAGCTCAGTAGAATAAGTGCTTGCCTGGCAAGCAGAAGGGCCTGAGTTCAAACCCCTATTCCGCAAAAAAAAAAAAAAAAAAAAAAAAGTCACCACCAACACTGAATTTGGAAATACACCTTTTCTAGGGGAAATATAAGGGTTGGTTGTTAACAGCATCTGCCCTTGCATTATGTTTATAGCTAAAGACATTGTAATATATAAGTAAATACACAGTTGACGGCATCATCATTCATGTCTGAACCAACCTTCTAAACACATCTATCTTTCAACAAAGCATGCCACAGCTTTGTGCCAAGGAGCGCCCACAGCACTTCAGCACTGGGCCCAGGCCCTTTTTCAGCAGTGGACTCAACCAAAAGAGCACACAATGCAAAAACGTGGCACTAAATAGTTGTAAAAGAACACTTGTTCACAGCATAGCTGAAAGAAGACAGAGCCTCTTCATGTTCAGTATCCTTTTGGCAATTTAAAATGTTCACCCCATGCCTATGTCCCTGAATGACTTCCAAAGTGTTACATGTGCCCACAGATTTGACACGAGACATTTTAGTGAGTCAGTGCATTTGTAAATACAGAACCTGTGAATGACAGAGACTGACAACAGTATTATTTCACCTAACTCTCAAAACAGTTCTACAAGGTCAGAATGTCAATTTTTACATAGAAGAGAATGACTGAGAATTTAGGCTGATTTCCCCAAGACTTGCAACTATAAAAAGATGGAACCAGGATTCTAATCCAAGAATTCTCTCCAGAGCCTTGACTCTCAAACATTTATCATCTCCACAGAGGTTATATCTTAAACTTTGTTCAGTACTTGTCAGGAAACCAAGGTCAGCCCCTACAGCACAAGAAAACAGCACTTTGAAGTATTTTATATTTTCTAAGTAAATTTCTTATACTCTGGAACAGATTGAGCACATGAAAATGTCCTTTTTAATTTTAACTTTACTACTTGAGCTTTGGCACTTGCATATGTTTCAACCTCATGTATCCTTGGAAAACATTTCTTCCATTACTAGAGGTGTTGGTTTATTTCATTTTTATAGAATACTAAAGTTACTATATGTCAAAGGGCAAATTTTGAAAGAAATTATAAATGTATTGCTATTAGAGGAGTTGAGTAATGTTTTAAAGATTTAAATGTTTTTTAAAATTTTTATAATTTTGTCATGGCCTTGCTAAATTCCCCACACTGGTCTTTAACTTGGACTCCTCTTGCCTTTGTCTCCTGAGTAGCTGGGATTACAGGCATGTGCCACCACAATGAACTATTTGAGATTTTATCATCTGTTTTCTTACCTCTTAAAACACAGCAAGATAAAAAGTCACAGGTGAGAGCAAATAGACTAAATAATAGCTACTCTTGGAAGCGGGGATTCACACTTTCAATTTCTTTTTCTATTTTTTCCCATAATTTTATTGACAAATAGCAATGAGGCAGTTTCAAATCAAATTGGTAGGCCAGTTTCAACAATTAGCACACTGCATACTGTCTTCCTAGTGGTTGTTGCTGTACAAGATGTAGACATGACGTCCTATCTACAAACACTGTTACGTGTGGTGGTCCTCACACTTCAATTTCCTAGGCAGCAGATGAGCTGTACAGGCAAGACCCCGCACAAAACACCTCCTGCACGTTACTGCATTTCTGGACACAGCGTGTAAATGTTATTTTCTCTAAGTGAAACGCTATCTACTCTGAGGGCGTTTGCCCTCACGCCCAGGAGGCCAGGGAAAGTGCGGGGTGGCAGGCGGCGCTGCGAGGGTCTCTGGGGATCCCAGGGCGGCAGTCGGAGTCCCGCCGGCTCTCCCGTCGGAGTCCGCTGGAGGCCAGGCCTGCAGGGGAGCGGTCGCAGCCGAGGAGGCTGGACTGAGCGCTGCGTTCGTCTAGGCCCAGGACGCACCTGCGCAGACCCCGCGGACCCGGCGCGCCGGCGGGAGGGGCAAGCTCCGCGACTCACGCCTGTGCCGCAGAGCTCGCGGCGGGGAAAGAGGTGCGCGTGCGCGGACCGCCCCGGCTGCCTGCGGGAGCCCCGGATGCAGCGAGCCCGCACTTCCGGCTGGCGCGTCGGGGTGCAGGTTCCGGGTTTCCGGGTGGGTGCGCGCGGCCTACGGGCGACAGGACCGCGCTGCGGCCAGCTGGCAGGGCCATGGAGAAGCTGCGGCGGGTCCTGAGTGGCCAGGACGACGAGGAGCAGGGCCTGACGGCGCAGGTAAGGGCCGTGCGCCGGCTGCGGGCCCGCTCGCCCGCGGCAAGGCCAGCCTTCCGGAGGCTGGGGGCGCGCTCGGGGCTTCCCGGGGGTGCCGCCCCCTGAGGTCCACCCCCGGCCCGGTGGCGTCTGCTTCTGGGGAGTCCGCGGGGCCGTCAGCCCGTGTCCGAGGAGCCCGGGAGTCACGGCCTCGGGTGTGGCGTGCGGCGACGGAGGGCCGAGTGTGCGGGTCTCTGGGGTAGTAAGGAGCGGTCCCGGACCGGTGCAGTTAGTTTCCTGAGGCACTGAAGCCTGGTAAGAGTTCTTTAAAAAAAAACAGAAATCGTGAATTGTATCTGCTGTTGACCCTGAGACTTGACAAGAGTTACTTCCTCCGAGGGGGTTAAAAATAGGAGTGGAGCGGAACTGCATTGTGTTGTATTTGCTTGCTAGCATATTTTTACGTGCCTGACAGAAGCGGAACACTTGAAGCCGAACTGCATTACATACATGAGGATCTTTTGTATTTGTTCCCTTTCCTGTTCTGGTTTGCCTCCTCAATGTATTTATTAAGTATGTCTTGGGAGCAGAGCTCTGGGCTAGTCTCTGAGGGTACAGGGTCTGTAAGGTAAGTATGTAACTGCTCTCAGTGAGTTCTATAAATCGTAGTAATGTAAAAAGCTGCTAGACCAGCGGTGGTGACCCAGAGCTCGGACTGAAACCCAAAACCCACTTACTTATCACAGAGTGCCAGCACTTCAATTAAAGCCAAATACTGAAGTTTTAGTTTAGGAAAAACAACTCAAGCATGTCTTCGTCTTACACAGTAACAGAGCTTTCAATTATACAGTTTTTTGATGAAAGGTAAAGTTTGTATTCCGTGTGCCTCCGTCATTTGATGCTCGGCCGCTGGCGTGATGTTGGGGTGACTGGACTCGGTGTCCGCTGTGGCACACCTGCCGCAAGCTCACAGTTCCATCAGCATTGGCAGTAAGGCAGTGTATAGTTAACTCAACTCATTGGAAAGTTTTTGAATTGCTCTACTTTTTGTGCTCCACTTTATTTATGTATTTATTTTTTTGGCTAGCTCAGGCTGCCTTAAGGGCGGGTCTGGTGAGGCTTGTGGAGCTGGGGATCAAACTTTGGTCCCCAGTGCCTGCCTGACTGAGTTTGCCCAAGCAGGAGCTTTAAACAACTGAGCTAACTTGCAAGTCACCAGTGCTCCACTTTATGCTCCACATTTTTGCTGTACAATACAGTAGTGGTACCCACTGACCACTTCAATGCATTTTAAATTTTAGTTCCTTTACTCACATGTTGCCTCCTTTCCCGTGTTCAGTAGGCACACATGCTCAGTGGCTTCTACACGGAGGGTGACATGTAGAACGTTTCCACTGTGGGAAGGTCTGCTGGACAGTGCTGTTCTAAACTTTAGAGATAGGAAGATGATACTCTGCCTTCTCTTTTTTTTTTTAATTTTTATTCATTTATTTATTTTTTTGTCCTGACAGAGGTGAATACTCTATTGGCATCTAAATACTATAAGTGTTTGAATTCAACTAAACATCTAATACTGTCTATCAGTCTATAATATTAGTGGGTTATCCTCAGAAGTTATTGACTTGAGCCTTTTATAGCTCATCGTATTAATATGGATTTACTTTATATACCTCATTTTTATACTTTTCTGCTGGATGGTTAAGACCAAGATATATATAGCAAGACCTATATACCCAGCATTGTAACTTTGTATCTGATAAGGTCAGCCAAGTACTCTCAGGATTTATCCAGTAGCCCTGTACCACCTTTTGTACATTCTTTTGTCAGTGTCTGACCTGAGGATGAGTCACGGCCATTGCTTGACCAGTTTGCTCTCTGTGAAAGCTTGAGAAAATGTTTTTACTCTCCATGTGATTCTCCCCAGGCTCACTTTAAATCCTCGAACACATTTCTCTGTGACTCTGCCTTCTCTTGAATCTGATGTATAAAGAGGAGAAAGCTACATAGACAAGTAATGGATCAAAAGCCAGGCTAGTGTTGCCAAAAGCTGTGTATTTGTAGAGAATTGAGCAAATCTTTAGATTCCCATAAATGAATTGGGCACTGTTGAAGGTGTTGTGTTACATAACAAGTGTCCAACACAGTGCCTTCCCTACTTGGAGGTTAACATTTAGTTGAGAAGACAGTTAATAAGCAAATAAGTATAAGTATAAAATGTGTCACTTGTGCTATAGAAAAAATTAAAGTGGGTGGAGGAGCTTGATATTGTCATTTTATGTAATGCCTCCCAGTTAGGATGACATCTGAGCATGGAACTGAAGGGCTTCTGGGGGATCAAGACAAGTTCTGAAGAAGAGCCTAGCAAACACAGCATGCAGCTGATGGCAGAGCCCTGAGAACAGAGTGTCATCAGTGTGTCCCAGGCCAGTACAGAGGCCAGGGTGGCTGAAGCAGAGGGTGAGAAGAGGGCCAAGTGTAGGAGACAGGCAGGCAGGAAGTGGGATTCCCAGTCCTGTTGTGGATTGTACGTTTTAACTTTTATTGGTAATGGGTCGGGCTGCCTCTAGTTTTTAAGCAGAGTAGTAAATGTGACTGACAGATTCGAAAGTCTTGATTCACTCTGGAGGACCACATGTAAGGAAAAGTTAGGAGAGCCCAGAGGCTGGTCAGGAGATGAGGACAGTAGTACTAAGACATGACTCATTTTGGGGGGCCAGAATCAGTGGTAGAAGTAATAGTGTTTTAAAAACAGGCAGGCAGGTTCTGAAAATGGCTTGTGCATAGAGCCATGTGTTAGTTTGAAAGATTGGATATGTGAAAGCCAGAGGAACTCAGGCTGCCACTTGTGTTTGACCTGAGCAGCTGGAATGACAGAGGCTTCTTTATCTGAAATATGTAAAGGGCAGGTTCGAGGAGAAAAATCACTTTAGTCTGCAGTGTCAGGAAGGTAGTTGGATGTATAATTTTGGAGTCTATGACAGGGAAGATTAGCTCACTAAAGGGTTGTGTGTGAGCAGAAAAGAGATAAGACCCAAACCTCTGCAGGCCTCCAGAATGTGAGTTAGAATGAGCAGGAGTGATAAAGAGGGCTGAAAGGAGTGGCATTTGGGGACGGAGAATCAAGTACAAAGGTTGCTCTAGGAAGCAAGGGATGTGGGTTTTTTTTCTTCCAGTTTTTAAAATTTATTTATTTATTGACAGGGTCTTGCTGTGTAGCCTAGGCTGGCCTTGAATTCACAGCAGTCTTCTCACCTCAGCCTCCCAAGTGCTGGGATTACAGGCATGTGCCACTAACATAGGGGAAAGAAACACCCAACCTGCTAGATGTCTGGTATGAGTTTGTGTTCTCTACGTCAAAGGGTGAATTTTAGGAACAGTGGAGGTTAAGAACAGAAGATATTTATTGGAGGAAAGAAAGCTATCTGAGAAAGACAGACAGAAGGGGTCCCAAGTGGGTTGCCAGGGATCCTGTCTTTTCTAGGGATTTTTTTTTTTTTTTTTTTTTTTTTTTTTTGAAACGGGGGTCTCTTTATACAGTTTAGGCTAACCTTGAGCTTACTTTGTAGCCAAGGCTTGAACTCACAACCATCCTCCTGCTTCAGCCTCCCAAGTGTTGGGATTATAGGCATGTGTCACAATGCCCAGCTTCTAGGAATTTTTATAGAGCAAATCCCTGACATGAAATGGGTCCAAGGTAGGCAGAATGGAAAATTGCAAGCTGGGCATGAGATAGGACAAGACTGTGGTCAACCAGTAAGATTATGCTTGCTCAGGTAAAATTGTTTAAATTAGTATCAAATGAAGAAGCAAGTGGAGGAGCAAGCAAGCATGAAAAATACAAAACCGGGCTTTTCCTGAAGAGGGTTAGATAAATGATTCTTTCTGACTTTCTCAAGGTGCTAGATATCTATTTAGAATATCAATCCCTGGTGCTTATCCTTGGGAGGTTTATGGGTGTATTGTTTTATCTTCTGTTTTGAGGTCTGGCCCATAGTTAAGGTATTTCCCACAGTTGCAAGGTATCTCTTTTGCACTGGCTCCTTTGAAGGCCCAGCCCTATTTGCCTGTATTTTATCTAACTTAGTTGCCTATAACACCATTGTACCTGGCTGAGGAAAGAGTGTTAGAAGGAGGTGTTAAGTGCTGTGATAGTTCTCCTAAATTGAAAATTAGGATAAAAGTCATGGGTCACTTGTGTGAGAACAGTTTTGGTAGCTAGATAAGGATGAAAGCCTGATCGAAGTGGCTCAGCAGTGAACCAACAGAAAACAGAGATAGTGAATGCAGTATCCCTGTGGTTTTTGCTGTAAAACAAAGAAGTGGGTTTGGTAATCAGAGGATGAAGTAGAATCAGGGATATTTTACTCTTAAAGTTAGAAAGTACTAGATGGGAGGAAGGAATATATACACATACATCTGAGATAGCTAAGGGAATTGTACTGATTTCTTTAGTTCATAGTTCATTGAAAGAAATAGTACTTATATTGTTTGATCAATCTTACATGCCTATATCTGGTAATTAAGCAACTACTTTGAGGATAACAGTATGCAGCGTAATAACCACTGTTAATTTCCTTTTATCTTGTTTTGAAATTCTGTACCAATACTTCTGTATTATTGTTCTTTTTTATTCTTATTGTCTTTAAAATAAAAAAGAGAGAGAAAGTACTAGATGGAAAAAGTCCAGAAAGGGGGAAAATGATAATCTCAGGCAAGAGATGCTGACCAGGAGTGGTTGAGAAGGGTTGGCCTGGAAGAGGCACAGATGCAGATGCTGTGGCTGTGGTCATCTGAACTGTTACCGCTAAAATAAAAAAAAAAAAGTTTATTTTTTCAAGTTTGGAGGAGGTGGATTTTGAAAGTTCAAAGAGGTGTGAGGTGATTAACAGAGTAGGAAAGTAGGAGATAGATATCCTAGTAGGATAGTAGGAGATTGGTACTTGTCAGAGTACCAGCCCACCATGCTTTGGGAGGCTGAAGCAGGAGGATGGTTGTGAGTTGAAGCCTGGGCTACAAAGTAAGCT